AAATAAATCCTAACGCAAGGTTTTCCCGTGTTCTTCGTCCATCATGCACTGTGCCATTATAGCATAGGTCATCATTATCCTGTGGCGGAAGTACTTCACACTCAGGCAACTGTATCCTGTGATTAATGCACATATTGTGCAAAACCGCTGTCGCCACTATCACCTGAAATTGGAGGGAAAATTTGATAGAGTATATCAAAAGATATTTTTGGATTTAAAGATATTCATTTGATATTTTCATAAAGTTATTTGTTTATACCTTGCATGCTTTCGAAGGATTAAATAACAGAGGACCTCCAGTTTTATCAAGACAGCGAAAACGGCCCTTCCACACACCAAAACATCTTTCAACAGAGTTTCTAGCTTTCATACGACGAGCATTATAACGATGCTCTGAGGGAGTAGAAGGCTGTAAATATGGGGTCATCATCCATGGTCTTAATGGATATGCTGAATCACCCAAGAGCCACCCCTCGCTAATTTCACCTATATAAAATATTCATGCATCTATTAACATTTTAAAAATGAGCTATTAAGGAACATCCCTTTTGTAGGAACCCTATGCCATACATTAATAAACTTCGTACATAGATTGAACCAATAATATCTAATAAATTTATGGACAAATATGGAGTAACTGCAGAAATTTTTCCATTTAAAAAGACAAATTTCATTGTCTGGTATAGGAAGGCGGCGCAATACCCAAAAGTTGCAATTAAAATTTGGTATATTATATTTAAAATCCTACAGAAAAGTAATTACAACCATGTATTTATTGAATGGAAATGAAAATTCATTATATTTTTTTGCATACAATACTGCATTCCCCTTATATTTCTTTACTATATGGTAGTATCAACTTGGGGGGGGGGGGGGGGCTGTACTTCAATGAACATTTTTCAAAAGTAAAATTAACGTTGCGTACAAAACTGCCCCCCCCCCCCCTGTTGCTACGTGCCTGTATATACATGTTTATACAAAGCACAAGGCAATGCGCTTTCGTCCAATTTATTTTTATTGTGAATATTACATACCGGATTCAAACTTTGCTGAAAGAGCACTGTCTGTCCATATGAAAGAGTCATGACTGCTCCCTGGCCACTTAGCGACGATGTTGGTGAATCTGAGATCGGAGTCGCACACCCCCTGAACATTTATTGAATGGAAACATTTCCTATTTACATACAAATGTTCATCTTTACTAGGTGATCTTATAGCAACATGTGTACCATCAATGCAACCCAGAACATTGGGGAATTTAGACATTTGAAAGTATTTTTGCATGACATGGATTTTCTCTGCATTATCAGTAGGAAACTTAATAAAATCACTAGCATATTTACTTATGCTACAAGACACATCATCAACTATACGAGAAACGGTCATTCTTGACATCCCCTGGGAATCTCCCAAAACGTTGAAAAAACTACCAGTAGCGTAAAATCTCAAGGCAGTTAATACCTGTGATGAAACACTGATAGCTTCATTTCTCTTTGTTGCTCTTTCCAAATCACCTCTTACCAATTCACACACATTTTCAATTAGATTTCTGTCTAAACGATACCGCTCTATCAAATATTGGTCGTCATAACCATGTAGATTTTCTCTTGTCTTAAAAGTTCTTTTTTTCCTCCCACTTTGTAGAAATATATAAGCCGACGCCATTCGTGTAATAATTCGAACTTAACTTCTAATATCTATTGTGAATAGTGTTTAATTGTGTCTTTATTCACAGACCTCTGAATACTACTCTCAGTTTCTCTGTGATTACCGGCCGAGTTAAGCTGTCATTGATTTCCAATCATAATTAATGTACACATATGTATATCCTACAGGGTTATTTTGTTTAATATACATGTTTAAATTGCTATATACATGTACACAAGACATAAATGCTATTTATTGACTTGAAGAGGTATTAGAGTATCTTATTAATTAAAAACAAATGAAATAATTACAATATTCATCGTTAAATTTTAACAGTTTTTATGTATAATGTGTTCAGGTTCTGTATAACACGCACTTAAGTCACCTATGTTGATCGCCTAAGTTTTGCTAAGATTTGTATTTCTTAGCATCCTTTATGATACGGACTTAAGACAAATAATGTACTTATGTCTTACTTAAGTATGGTCTTAGACTTAAGTACTTTTTATGTTACGACCCCCAGAAGACAATAAACAGAACAGCCGACTTAAATGCAATTAAGTCAAAATTTTTACTTTGAATAACATCATTTATTATACACACGCATTAAAGAATTGAACGTTTGTATAATTATATTTCAATTTAAATATATGGTTAAAACATTGTACTTTTATCAAAAGCTATATCGAATTGAAAATCTGAAACGAAAGTCGGTTCTCTGTTTATGGTCTTGGGGCCTGGGGCTCGTAACATAAAGCTTGCTAAGTTTTTGACTTAAGTAGGGTCGTAAGTACGGTTTAGGCACAATCTTAGGACCTGTCTTAGTACTGCTTAAGTATGTCTTAAACCGTAACATAAAGCGAACTAAGCTAGGTCCTAGCTAAGTCAGACTTATGTTAAAAATATTTCGCATGAGTCAGCCTATAGTTTTTGATTTTATATAGATGTAAAGTGCTAAATGTGATTCAGTTAGGGTTTTAATTAATTACATGTTAAAGTTGACGTCCTTACCTATCGGTTTAAGTTATGTTAGATTAGATTTCGTATTAAAATTATAATTATGTTATAAACTATTCGGAATGTTTGAAAACAAATACTGCACGGTCAGAAAGTGGCGAATTGTAGTTCATTGTAAATGTTCACAGCAATTGTTTTATCACCTGGGGTGTTTTCAGTTTACCTCTTGTAACTAATTTGTTTTGATAAATGCTCACTTACCCTGTTATTATCGCAGACAAGAAAAGATAATCGACCGCCTATTCATTTGAAATTTAAACCCTAAAAAGTTCGATACATTTTGAATCCCCACTATGTATAATGCCATGTATGTCAGAAGCAAAAAATGCAGAAGTTTAATGATATAATCATTATCAAGGATATAAAACAAAAAAACAAAAACAAAAATCGGGATATTTCTATAACCGAAGTCCTACTAATTTCAGACGTATCCCTAAAATTAAATTTTGTGTTTACATGTATGCTGTGCTGTGAGTGAAATTGGGATCAGTGATCACCCCATCCACCACCACCCCCTCCCAACGAAAAAATTAAATTCTTAAATCAGGGTCAAATATAGATAATTATTTTCTTTAATGCATAATATGAATAGAGGAAACTTTAAACATCGAAAGTCAACATTAAATAATTCTAAATATATGAACAAGAAAGTTAAGGTATACTTAAGTCACCTCTACCGGCCGCCTAAGTTTTGCTAAGATTGCCAAATCTAGGTACGCTTCTAGTTACGGTCTTAAGTTGTAGACTGTACTTAAGTCCTACTTAAGCAGGGTTTAAGACTTAAGTAGCCTTTATGTTACGACCCCCTGATCTCCAAAAACTACATAGATATTGTCAATCAGAAACCTTTTTAATATTAACGTTGCAATACTTGTGTATACAATTAGAATGTTTAAACAAAATAATCCTGTAAATGAGAATGACTAGGTTAGTGTGTTTGCAAATCTGAGGTATCATCTCCAAAAACAAAAACAAACCCATCCTTACCCAGATTATACTCAGACAAATGACATTTTGATACCCAACCTTCAACTCCGTAATATGTCTCTAGTGTTAATTTTAATAGATATACGAGGGGTTATCAAAAAGTTCGTGGACTAGCGCCATAAAATTAAAACCGCTTAAGGTACATCTATGAATTTTGAAATATCTAGTAAGCATCATCTTTTCTATCAAAAGAATTAACCACAAATCATGAATTTTATTTTTTGATAAATTAGCGATATTTTTGTAAGCAATGATATGTCCAGGCGGCGCAACCTTGAAAACGACGTTTTTTCGACCTATTTGTAACTGAGAAAAACTCATTTGACATGATTATTTGACATCCAATAATTCCGTTAATTCAGGTATGTGTCGGGACACAATTGTTCTATAAAATATAAAATTTTCACTTCATTCTGGAAGTTCTATGAAATTTTATCGTAAATTTTACACGGAATGTCCAAACAAATGAGGCCTTGAAAATGACGTCAAAAGGGGGAGGGGTGTCCGTTTCCAACATTCTATAAAGTTTTGCCCCTGAAAAAATAGTATAGACCTAAAATATGTTGAAACTGGCTACAGAGAAATAAAATTCATCCAGAGTACTTGTCTTTTAATGTCAAAATAGACTCAGAGAAAAAAGGGATACACAGTTAATGTCGATTTGCAGTCAAGGTGGGAAAAATCAATCCCGTCAAAAATGACGTTGACCATGTGTTGTAGATATTGAACCCCCAAACGCAAAATATTCCGGCACAATCAAGCGCGCATCTCTCCCAATGTATTAATCCATTTGGAATATTATATTCATAGAAGGCCACTGTTCATGACATTGGAAAGTCATATAAACAAGGCGGGATTAAGTCCTTGCTCAGCTCCAGGAAATCTCATCAAAAAAGTGTATGAGGTATAAGAAGGGGACATTGAAAAAACAATGACGTTATCGGACGTCATGAAAATAAACGACGACAGTGCCGGGTGATCATATAATGTTGTTTTCATTTTATAATAATTTGGTAAATAATGAACATATCAGGCTAAAATTTTCAACATTTCTTTAGTTTGTGTTGCTTTATGTTCCATATCAATTTTGAAAGCGCAGACTACATAGTACTAATTTTATAGCCTCAGTCCACGAACTTTTTGATAACCCCTCGTATATAATAAAACAATATGTCAACACTGGTTAACTTGAGTATTTAAACCAGATGCTCTTTACACAATAGTAACAAATCATTTTTCTAGAATCCGTCAAAACAACTGGTACTTTAGTTTTCAAAGGAACGCCCCTAAAACATAAATTATTATAAATGCCAAGACGACAAGTAACAAGTTTAATATGTAAACATAACATGAAGATGCCAGCCTCTTACCTAAAGTGTTCTGTTGTTGGTGATGCTCAGGTTGGCAAGACTTGCCTTACCAAAGTGTTTGTCGGAGAGAAGGGTGAAGAGGAATACACTCCCACCATCTTTGAAAATTACTCTGGTAAGTCAGTGCTTCTTAATGAAATTGATTACCTCTTTTTCTGATTTTAAACTGAATTATCTCGTAGAGTATTGATTATTATTAATTTAATACTAAAACAATTCTGTTTTTTTTTATTATCAGGGGAAACAGTATGCAGAGGAAAAAAAGCCAGACTCTCAATCTATGATCTACCCGGTCAGCATGATTTTGATCAGATGCGGAAATTTGCCCTCAAAGATAGTAATGTCATAATCATTTGTTACAATGTTCAGAATAGAAAATCATTCGAAAATGTTCAGTCTGTATGGATTCCAGAAATACGCCAGTTTCTGGGAAAGTCGGTGCCCATTGTTCTTGTGGGAATTCTTTTGAACAAGAAACAGGTCAAAAGTGTTTCAAGAAGAGAGGCCGTTAGAGTTACCTCCCAAATGCAACTTCACGACTACTTTGAGATATACTCTGGTGATTATGTTGAGGTCTCCTGTCTGTTTTCGCGTGTCGCAAATATTGCCAAGAAAACAAAGAAGAGAAAGTCCTCTTTCCTCAGACGCATTTTTGTGAAATGACATTTGCGATAACCGTTTGATCCAACCCATGGAATCAAGGCATCATTTTTCCTTAAAGTTCAGCTCCTTGGTACCAGATTTAGAGATGGTGTTGACAAGCGAAGAAAAAGTCGCCTTAAACTGCATAATGAAGCCAAGATGAAATGAATAAAGTAGACTGGAATTAGTGTAGAGGACAGGAACATGTTCAACATGTTGAAAAACAATATGGTACAATCAGAGCTGCCTGAGGTTAAAGAATGGACATAACTTTTGAGAGTGAATTTCGCTGACTTGTATTCATACGTATATAATTATATTGTTCGTTTTCAACAATAAATTGTCAGAATTATTTTTTTTCAATTCTTCATTTACTCTGTTGTAAATGCGAAAATCATACTACCTTATCAGGTAGTAAGGTATCTAAATATAATATCAGTAAAGTAAGATATGAATCCTAATTATACCCCGCTTGAAGAGTCGGGGGGGGGGGGGGTGTTAGTGATCAGGATGTCCGTTCGTCTGTTACGCTTTGGGGTACCCATCTCCTATCCGCGACTCTTCTTGTACCACTGATTGAAATTAAATGAGATTCTTCACAGGTTCTTCGTTAAAAAGTACCATTGTGACCTCTTATTTTAGGGGACATATATTTCAGGTTTCCCATAGCAAAACATAGACACTGCCATTTTTTCCACTATTGAAGGGCATTTCTTATCCCCTAATACCACTGAATGAATTTTAATGAATCTTTGCTACATAGAGCCATTGTACACCTATTTTACTTTTTGATCGGACACATATTCCGGGTTTCCCATAGCAAAACATTGACACTGCCATTCTTTCGATCATATTGAAGGGAACCCATCACTTATACACAACTTCTCCTATACCACTGAATACAATTTAATGATACTTTAGCAGATTTTTATTATATAATGCCATTGTGCACCCCCCTTTTTGTGATTTGACACTTATTTCGTGCCTTCAAGAACGATTTGCCATTATAATGGTATGTGAGGCGGGGGTATCATTTAGTGAGCTCAATGCTAATAGTATATATCTCTAGTTGTTTATTACACTTTTGTTCAAAGGGGGTCTTTTCTTAATCGATAAGCATTTACATACAATGTGGGTCATATACCGGCATTATACAACACTTTCCAACATTTACAATAATCGCTATACATATGCTCTATCACGTAGATTGTATAAAGGGCAACCTTTGACTTTTTGCGCAATTTCCTTTACTTTGTATGAACTTCAACAACATGATAAAATGTTACATGTTTATTACAAAATATAGGACACATCAGCTAAAGCTAACAAAAAACTTTGTACATTGGTATAGATTTTTTTTAATCCGTCAAAACGTTTTTGTTTCTTTATGATATAATGTACATGTACCTCTCGAGAACTTTATTATACTTCCGCTTGAAAAGTGGGAGGTTAATTATAATCAGGATGTTTGTCCGTCTGTTACGCTTTGGGGTACCCATCTCTTATCCGCAACTCCTCTCATACCACTGAATGAAATTTGAAGAGACTTTCACAGAATCTTTATTACATATTTTTAGGTCACCTGAGTAAACTCAGGTGACCTATTGCTATCTGTTTTTGTCCGTCGTCGTGCGGTGTGCGTCGTGCGTTAACATTTAAACATTTTCAGCTTCTTCTCTGAAACCACTGAACCAATTTCAACCAATTTTGGCATATAGCATCTATGGGTGAAGGGGAACAAAAATTTTGAATTTCGTGTCCCTGCCCCCCTGGGGGGTGGGGCCAAAACCACTAAAATTAGTGCAATCTTTAAAAATCTTCTTCTTTACTACCAGACATCAAGCAGTCAAACTGTTGGTATGATTGTAATCAGCATTGAGTCCTCTACCAAAATTGTGAAATTCATGGCCCCAAGGTCAGGGGTTCTGGTGTTAGGGTGGGGCTCTATTGATTATATAGTGAAAATGCATTAAATCTTTGAAAATCTTCTTCTCTGCTTCAGGGTATTAAATTTTCTAATTAAGGACATAGTTATGATGAGCAAGAATGCTTCTACCAAATTTGTGAATTTTATGGCCCCAGGGTCAGGGTTATGGTGTTAGGATGTGGCTGTATAATGATTATATGGTGAAAATACATTGCATCTATGAAAATTTTTTTCTCTACTCCTGGGTAATAAGCAGAATGAACTATTTACATAGTTATGCTGGGATGGGCTCTTCTTTCAGAATTGTGAATTTCAAGGCCCCTGGGTCAGGGATACCAAAATGGGAAGGGGGGGGGTCTACTTATATACTGAAAATGAATTGTTTGAAATCTGCTCCTTGGTATTAATCAAACATTTTTGATAAGCAAGTGTGCCTTTTCAAAAATTGTGCAATGTGTAGACCTAGGGTCAGGGGTTCATGTGTGGTAGGGGCACTCCTGATTATTGCTGAATATTACTGATTAGTTGACATGCGTTTTTGTTCCCTTACCCTGCTTATGGGTATTAAGTAAACAAACTAAACATTTGTAAGTGTATAGTTATGATTAGCAATTGTGCCTCTTTCAAATTTGTGAATGCCATAACATCTAGCTAAAACATGAACCAAATTCAATCATTTGAAAGTTGTTGCATGATGCTCAGGTGACCTATAAGGCCCATGGGCCTCTTGTTTAAATGTTATATTGTCTTGTTTAAATGTGCTGTAGATTTCTAATAACTATTTCTAACTATCAAATGTAAGTCATAAATATTGTATATTGTAGGATTATTTAAAAAAAAAAAAAGTTTAAATGCCATTTAAACATATTTTTGTGTGACAAATCAAGGAAATTTTATTCCCACGAAGCTAGCATTTCAGTGACAGTCATTGTTTGTATTGTTTAATATTAAGTTGATACCATTTAAAATCAATCTCTAGGCTATTTAAAAGGTCATTAAATGATATGAGCTGAAAAATTATTCTAGTGCTATCCGTCTTCAAATTTGCTCCTCGTGTGTCGTGTGTTAACATTTGAACAATTTCAATTCTTCTAAATGAAATACATATACAGTTTCAACCAAATTTGGTATACAGCATCTATGGGCGAGCAGTTATTTAGTACCAAAAACCTTTACACCTTTTTCTTGCACTGCCTATATCCTCAATATTCATTAAAATTATTGCAATTTTTAAAAATCACTTCTTTACTCATGGACATCAAGCAGGCAAACTGTTGGCATGAATGTAATGACAAAATCGGAAATACCTCTAGCCATTAAAGTGACGAAAGTATGACGTCAAATAAAAAGTCCAGTTGACTTAGAACACAAACGATATATAGTTTTGTGGCATGAAGACGTACTGCATTAAATCGTTGTTTTTAATTTTTTTTCAAGTAAGTTGTTGCTATGTTTTAGCCACCATGTTGCTATGCACCGCAAAGGATTATTGGGAGTTAAGAATGTTTTCACGTGGACTCATAAAAAATTCTTGGAACAATGTGCAGATTTCAACCAGAATTTCCTCCGTTCGTACACGTTAGTGTATTGAGCTTGCTATGCGCCGCCTGGCTGCGCTCACTATTATATTTGGCATGTACGATATTTGTTGGAAGTTGATTTTTTAACGAGTTAGCGTAGTTTTATTTAGCACATTTATTAATGTTCTTGTACCATAGTTAGGTGTGATTTCTTTATATAGTTTAAATGTGGGTTATTCTTTAACCCACACTCTTCTTCTCTGCTTCGAGCTGGGTACAAATAAACTATAAAATCATGCACAATTTTTAAATGAAACAATCACCTGGGCTTGTTATACCAAATTCAGGAGAGTAAAAAAGAGTAAAAATTATCAGCATTAGGTAATAATTAACAATTAAAAAAGGGCATATCAATACTAAAAAACTTCAGAAATCGTTTGATTTTTTAAACATTTTTGTAAATTGTCATGACCAGGTTGACGTTAGCTTATAGTAGATTCCAATATCGTTCTATTGATAACCAACAAAGGAAACACGGTACAACCATGAAGTAAAAACAAAAGTGCACACTAATGTGCTTAATTAAAGTTTTCGATTGCGGATCTAGCTGATCAAAGATCTAATTTTCATTAAATTGAAATATACATTTCTAACAAACATTTCAATCAACGTACCGATGTGCACGACAAAGTATGTATTGGTTTACAAAAATTGAAGTTAAACCAAGTTCATAATAAATTTAAATTTTTTGATTTTGACTATTGAATTTACGAGAGAAAAAAAATCATATCAAATCAACATATCTCATTAAAACAAAACTTGTTAATTTTTCAATTACATAAATCAGACAAACTTTTTAAACGGACTTATAGATATGTTATATTTTTATATCGCTCGTGTGGTGCAGTGGTTAGAGTGCCTGCCCTAGAGTCATGAGTAAGGAGTCGAATCCCACTGTGGGATGTTGAGACCGTATGAACAGAGGTCCCATGCCGCAGCAGGTGTTGGCCCAAAGAAGATCCCTCACTGCTCAATGACCCTAAGTGCAGAGTAAAGGACAAAATTTGCTGCTCTCCACCGTCATAATGTGGTGTCTCCACTTGAGTGAAAAATTCTCGAGGAGAACGTTAAACAACATACAATCAATTTTTGAAAAGTATTGTATACAAATCACTTACCCTAGACTCGATGGACATGGTCAGAAGGACACGAAGGAGCGTAAAATCAAATAAAATCCATATGTATCATGAAACCAAACACTTAATGCTTCAAACACACGAACCAGTCCGACCTATTCCTAAGCTGACTTATATATGAATGATTTTTGAAAACTATGATACAAGTCATTTGCCCAAAATGTTTTAACTTATGTGCAGATACCTCTCCGAGTGTGGTCCTATGTACAACTCGGGAGCTATGCTCCCTCGTGTCATTATGACCACACCCATTGAGTATCTGCACATAACCAACAGTATGATATGGGGTAACTACTACTTATTTATAAGTATATATGCAAGACATTTAGAGCTGTACTTGAATTATCGGAAGTCTCTTTCTGCCAAAGCCGCTAAAAAGAATAAACAGCCAAATGTAATACATTTACAGTACATGTGTAGCAATGCTGATTTGATGACAGTGGACACTTTATTTGTAGTTGCTGCCTGGCCACACAGTTAGCTCTGGTTCGTGAGAGTGTTCTCATCATCTCAACAGATCCAGCACACAACATATCAGATGCTTTCAGCCAGAAGTTTTCTAAAGTACCTTCACTTGTTAAAGGTTTCACCAATTTGTATGCCATGGTAAGTTCTGATTCACAAAATTGTAAATACTGGTACATGTACTAGTAGTATGATTGTTATTATACATTCCAACCAGAACTTAAATTTTCTGATAAAGTTTCAGCCAGGCTGTTATCAATTGACTACATGTCTTTAAAAAGTTTGAGCAAATTAGAGGACTAATGATTTACAATTTAATCAATTTGATTAAACTTTAAGCTGCGTCAAAGATGATGGACATGCATCATCTTGTAGTTTTGATTCCTGACTCTTGAGTCCTACAACTCTGTGAGTCTACAGTCAGTACAGTGTTTATGGATTGCTGTAGATCACTAAATTTTCGCAAAACCTTATTTTCGCGAGATTGTCAATGACTCTTTGTAAGCGAGACATAATTTTCACGAATAGTTGTTATTCCTCTATATAATCGTAAGGAATATTTTTGTAAGCGAGAATTTAATGTTCGCGAAGGCATTGTCTCGCGTAATTACGCGAAATAAAGTTCTCGCGAATAAAAAGTGATTTACAGTAATATATCTCTCTGTAAGATTAAGGCAGATATGCTGAGTGTAATGGCTTATGGCTCTGTTGTTATTACTTTTAGGAAATAGATCCAAATCTTGGATTGGCAGAATTACCAGATGAGTATTTTGAACAAGGTAGGTTTGAATGAATTCCAAATAGGTTTCACCTTATTTCTTAGTTTGTTGCTCACATATTGATATCAATGTGAGAATTTTCATTCCTTTATTTTAGATGTGATGAGTATGGGGAAGTCTGTGGTTTCTGAGCTCCTCAGTGCTTTTCCAGGAATTGATGAAGCCATGAGTTTTGCTGAAGTCATGAAGTATGCTCCTTTTACATTCTTAACAAATAAATACCTGGTATCTTCCAAGGAAAATTTAAATAAATGTCATATTTATGATATGGACATATCTAACATTTGAATTTAATTATTAACCATTCTTGATTTATTTGAGAGTAGCATATGATGATATGGTTAAGAATGTTTTAATGATGCCAATTTTTTGCCGTTTTTAATCAAACTTGAACAATTCATAGTTAATTCTCTGACATTGTTTACAGACTAGTCAAAGGTATGAACTTCTCCTGTGTGGTTTTTGACACTGCCCCCACAGGTCACACCCTCAGGTTATTGTCCTTTCCCTCCATCATAGAAAAAGGACTGGGAAAAATCTTACGACTGAAAAACAAAATCGGACCATTTATTTCCCAGGTCAGTTCTAGGTTATACTAAGACAATATAATTTCATAAACAAAATTATGACTTGGCGAATTTAAAATGTGGCAAAATTGTTTGTGAGTTTGAAAGGGCAAAAATAACACGGGGCTAAAATAACCCTGTATACAGTAATCTAGATCAGCTTTATTCTATTAAATATCCTCTAGCTAGATGATTTTAGATACGGTATACATTGAACCTGTAAGTGAAGTACAGTAAAACACGGTTATAGCTAATATTATATTTATAATGGATTGATGCTTACAGCGAAGTGATTTTCATCCCCTTGACTTTATATATATTGTTAACTTGATGGATATAACAAATGATGCTTATAATGAAGCAAAATTGTCCGGCCCAGCACTTCATTATAAGTGTGTTTTACTGTATTTCAGTTCTGATTAAGAATAGTTTTACTGTACGTCTACCTTCCATGTTTGTAGATGGCGGGAGTTATGGGAATGCAGGATGTGAATGCTGACATGATGTCTACCAAACTGGATGATATGATGAACACAATTAAACAAGTTAATGAACAGTTTAAAAATGCGGCAAGTTTTCTTGACTTATTTACTTACTTTATACATGTAACATAAAAATGTTGAACATAGTTAAACCTGTCTTTTATACTGTACAGGCAAGAAAAAAAAATTATTTGGTTTTAAATCTCTATCAGTCATGATGTAACATAAAAATTTACTATTTTTTATAAATGTTTACAGGACCAAACCACCTTTGTGTGTGTATGTATAGCGGAGTTTTTGTCCTTGTATGAGACGGAGCGCCTTGTTCAGGAGCTGACACAGTATGGCATTGACACGCATAACATCGTCGTCAATCAACTCCTGTTTCTAAAACAAGGGGAGGAACCATGTAAATTATGTAAAGCCAGGCACAGAATTCAAGCCAAGTATTTGGACCAGGTAGTTAAACAGTTCTCAAATTTCAGGAAGAAATATCTCATTGACTCTTATTCTGAAGTTTGTCTTAATTGTCTTAATAATCTTGCTCCATGGGTGAGGGTTGGGTCACAAATAGGGAATAAGGGTGACAAAATTTAGGATATTAATAATATGAATGAATATAATTATCTTTTAATTTCTATGACTACAATGGTTTTAGATTTAAATGGGTTTTGAAACTGAAGAAATATCTTATTGAAATAACAATAATTTTTTTTTCTCAGATTGCAGATTTATATGAAGATTTTAATGTCACAAAGCTCCCACTTCAGGAGGAGGAAGTCCGAGGGGTGGACAAGATAAAGGACTTCTCTAAATACCTGTTAGAACCCTACAAACACTGTTAATTGTTATTTATATCAATAAACTGATCGTTGTTGTACCTCATTCTATTTATACTGTATATTAATGATTGCTTATAGTTGTAGAAAAATGAGAGAATATACTTAATGATTTACTGACCAATACACATGCATATGTAGTAATGGACTTGGATTGTTGTCATTGTCATCTTTAAGGATTCTTTATTGTATTAAGTACAGTAAACCTATTACTGCCATGTATTCTATTTAGAGATTTTGGCGGTAAGCAGAGTATGCTAAATCAAGTCTCGTATTTCATGCATTAATCTTTAGCACATTCAGATACAGTGTAGTGCAAAATCTAATCCGCACTAACTTGTTGTAAAATTAATTTCCACCAAATGTTGTACACGCTAAATATAATACATTTACAGTATCATAAGGGGATGAAATGAAAAAAGCAGTTGGTGGGGTAGGTTGAGGGGTTATTTAGAAGAAGTTGTGTTCAGGAATGACAGCTAGATTGACAGTGCAATGTTTTCTTCAATCATTTTTATCATCACTATTCCTGTTAAACTACTCACATCTGCAGATAATTTAGTATATTGCTAAAAGTAGTGTACAATCACTAGTTTTAAGATTAAATGAAAATAAATTTTTATTCATGTATCAAAGTAAAACGTCAGTGGATGATCCACAGTGTCTCTGTCTTCTTGAGGAACTGGATAAACTGTAATTTTGCAAATTTTATGAGTTATATTTTTTCTTTGACGAAAATTTACAGGAAATGTGGAATATATAATAAAGAATGACAGAGTTCTTTCATAATAAATTTTGATCACCTAGCTTTCACTTGGAAATCACCAGAAATGCGAAAAACTGAAAATGTCAAAACCAAAAAGTATGAAAATCTTCCAAAATAATTTGAAAAAAGCAGATGATAAATCTGTAGATATTTAAGTAAGTTTGACAGAGATATTTGTGGAGCAAAAAATCTTTGGGAAGTAAAATGGCTGTAGTTTTATTTAATGTGCGTCTTGTCTCATTTTATCACGATGAATTTTCATGAATCAATTTCTTATAAAAGTTGTGTTTGACATGTACTTTGTAGAATTAAAATATTGAAAAAATCGGGTAGTCTGGCATAATAGAAGAATGATTATAAATAGTTTTTAGTAAAAAGTTAAATTTTTTAAATATTAATTTGTCACAAGAATGGAAGTACAGTGGATCCCGCTTAATCCAATAGTAAATTTGTCAGCCTTCTGTTATCAGAATAGCCGAATATTAGAGTAGCCGACTGCTCCATTTCGAGTCCAAACAAAGATGTATAGAGCTAGATGTATTGGCAATACGTTGTAGCAAATTTCAGACTTGCAGTTTCATTTTCGTTTGATTACTTTACCTGGTGATTCTCCTAAAATAAAATGTTAAACTTATTTATCAATTTAATCTGATAACATTTTTGAAATCAATGATTTATAAAAATTGTTCTTAAATAGTTATTGCCATCTTTAATCAGCGCATGTTTACATTCCTTATGGAAATCTAGGATAGACCCACTCTTTACCAAGGGGCATAGTTTTAACACATTATATCTCCATGTCAAGCTTTCCTTTTTTGTATATTTTTCAAAGATTTTTAAAAACACCAAGATATAAGTTTGCCTTTCCTTGATTATCTCCCTTCATGATGGTATGGCTGTTCATTTGCACAAGTCAATCCCCTTCACCTATAGATGCCTTGTGGCAAGTTTAGACGAAATTGATAGTTTTTTTTTTAAAGTTGAAATGGTAAAATTAAACTGCCAAAATACCCACAGACAGATCAAGAATTTTACTCATCACTGTTTACAACAGAAAAATCTTATACATGTATATCAATTTCAACATATCATTTACTAATAAGTGGAGGTTCAAAAAGTTTTAATTCATAATGATTACTAATCTTGATGTCCTTGTGTCTATATTTGGTATTTTGTCCTTTAAATTTGAACAGGTCAAAATATTTACACAATCTTATTGAAGTGAACCTCAAGCCCTAACCACAACAGGGTCCATAGGACAATATCATTTTAATGATAGAACTTTCCATCTAGATGTCCATTAGATTCTGCCTTCAAAATGAAATCAGGGGGTCTGAGTTTTAAGTCTGCCACTCTCTGGTAAATCTGGAGTGCACCCAACTTGTATTATCCTCTAGTCCCGGCCTGCCTCTGGGGGCTGAATTATTAAAAACAATTTTAAATTTACATCTATTTATTCAATCATGTATACATTCCGAAGAATAAACTATTACAGAAATTCAATCTTTTAAAAATTCAGAGATCACTTTACAGTTTAATTTCATAAATATATGTTTAGATTCTTGTAAAATATACAGCAGTGGATACTCAGAGAGGATTTATAGAATATATATAAATGCAAGGGAGATAAAGCAACAGTTAAACTGTCATAATATTGAAACATGATTAATATCTTGTTAGATAAAGAAAATTAATCAAGTTAAAAATCTATAAAACAAAAGCATACTTGATCACAAAATATCCATCCCAGTTAACAATAACTTCTAATCACAATGTACTAAGCACATGTTGTATTGTCCATGCACAACTAGTTGTTCAAACATGGTATGGGGGTACTTTTTGTTCACGCTTGATTCAATTTGGGGATAGCAGTATATGTCAGGGTTCCTTCCCCTGCCCCCTTTATGAACCTTCTGCCTTAAAACCTTAAATATCTTTACAAATGAATCACTTTAACAAGGCTTATGTGGTCAGGTATTGAATTTTCCCAAGATCTTTCAAGACTGCATACAAGTAAAATTATCTGTAATGGTTATAAGGTTACTGTGACCGGTGAACTTAGTGTGCATGGACAATATCAATTGAAAAAGCAAAAATATATATATGTATTGCATCATAATGGCACTAGACCACATAACAATGTATATCTCCACAAATATTAGGAGGAACAGTGGGTTATATAATACATGTACATGTACAGGCATTATTTTCTCACTACATAAACAAGGGCAATCTAGAAAACCAATGAACACAGATGGTTATTTTTCCAGCCAATACATGCAGGCATATATGTGCACCATTTCTGATCTGCCTATTGCACAACCTTTTTTTACTTCGTTTACATATTTTCATAATACAGGCTGGTATTCTAGTTTGAGTCCTAACATTGTGACATCCAAAGTTTTAGTACAATGAAAATGTAGATTTGAAATGGTTAGTTGGTACATATTTACATTTGAACATGGAATGAGCATGTAATGATACAAATCAATCAAAAAAAAAAATTCATGTAAAGGTCCGACTTGCTACACTGAAGAATTGGAAGAATCGGTTGTCTCGCTGCCCGACTCTTTGGGAATCTGGTTCAGTGCAACATCAACCAGCATGAAAAAGGATTTGAAGAGGTCCGCATTCTGAGGGGTGCTGGACGGAGAGGAGGGTGGGGAGAGGTTCTCTTGGGAGAAACTCTCTCCTCTGGTTCTGGACTGGCTGACATCAGGGGAGGCAGACTCTGGCTCTGTGTGAGAAGTCACTGGAGGAGGCCTCACAATCCGACATGTAACCGTCCGGCTCCCCCATGTGTGTGTGTGTGTGTGTTTTCAGTACTGTAACCACCTGAGGTGAAGGTGACACGGTCTAACAGGGACTGCTTATGCTTGCGGGTGATGGTGTATTGGAGAGGATCCTGGCCATCTTTCTTGATCATTTCTGGTAAAATTCTACGACGAGCATTAATGAACCAGTTACACACTTGCAGTACAGTCAGATTAGTGGCCGAGGAGAGATAGACCTTTTCCTGATCTGATGGGTATGCATTGTAGCGGTGCTCATATAACCAGGTCTTCAGGATACGGACAGCTTCCTTCGGTAGATTTCCACGTCTACGCCTTGCATCACTCAGACCATCATCGTCTTTCCTGGAGTCAGAGTCATAATCGTTCTCCCATGGCCTGGCAAATTTGAAGTCTCTTACTGCAAAACAAAACCAATGATATGGTTTAAAATACATTTCATAAAGATCAAATTTGATGCAACTTCATTAAAGTAAATTTATATGCATAATTTTACAATATCAGACTGGTAATGATATTTATTTTGCAAATATTATCTTTCAAAGTAAGAGTAATCCAGACCCCCCCCCCCCTTTATATAGGAAAGCAGCTTTTCTATTCCATTCCTCCTATCAAAGAAAAGTATTTTTCCATTTTTCATTTTCAAAAACTTGCAAGGAAGATTCTTTTTTTTTTTTGGTTTTTTAGTTTTTTTTTGGATCCACCCAATATATAAAAAGGAAAATATTCACAAGTTCTAAGGTTCTTTCACAAATTTAATAATTTACTAATATTATGAGAACATTTGCATACTTTTAAGTTCATAATAAATTTTTATGCTCTTTATTAAGAGTTCACGACATGTTTATAGGTAATCAATCAAGTGGCCTTGACACATTTAAATAAACAAAAACAATACTAACATTTTGAAATCTCATGTAATCATTTGGATCATTATAGACTGCATTTTTCATTTTCAATAATTAATGGTAAGCTGCCCTGGTATGTTATTGTGCAGGTGTCAACTCACGGTCAACAACATTGACAGATGCATTATTTACTGAACCACTGATGTAAATATTGCATTAGAAACTAGAAATATGTCATAATCGCGTCCAGGTATATGTTATTTATCACTTTACAACAATTTATCGCAGAAGCCTTTGAGTGATATTTACTCAATGCGTTGTTGTGATGTCGATTTCTTTGTTGTACAAGACATGAGCACGTGGTGTCAACGATTTTTGATAAAGAATCAAACAACAAGTCCCGACAAACATGAGTTTTGATTTAAAAGTATACGTATACATACCTCGTCTCATTTTAAGTGATTCTGACATGGTGATATTCCTTATTCTTTGAAATAATTGGAAATGTACTTCTCGCTCTTTTCAAAACTGTCAATTTCCTCTCCACCACGCGGGATCTGACAAACCGCGCAAACCACGTGCCAATCGCTTGGGTTCGGCGTTGATTGGTCTAAATTTGAATTCTTGAAATTTGATTGGTCGGATAAACTTTGACAGCTCAAACGGGCGCGAGAATATTGCTGCCATGTGTCACCTGTTGTAATCAAATCGAGGACCAAGAAGATTATTCTTTTTGTT